GTTGGAACATCATTGTATTTAGAACTTGGTTATAAATGCAACCTTCCTATGTATATTGAAACACTGCCTTAAAAAAACAAGTAAATGTAGGGATTGCTAATAACAATCCTTCAAAAACAATGCAAACAAGATGGCAGGGATGGCATGCATCATCCCTACATTACAGCAGAGGCAAGAATTAACATATAGCAATATAACCAATCACAAACAAGTTTAATTTATCCTATTTTTATCTGCTAATATTATACTATACTGTGTGCAAATGCCACCCCTACTATCTTGTTTGCATTGTTTTTGAAGGATTGTTATTAGTTATCCCTACATTTACTTCCTTTTTTGATAATTTTCTTTACTTTTCTATTATCTAGAATGTTTAATTTGATAAACTTGTAATGTAGCTATGTGGAATGTACTGCAGCTGGGTATGCACAAGTCTGACATATAAATGTTGGGTTATATGTATAATGTAGGATTTGTTAAAGCTGTAGCTATGTAGAATGTGCTGTAGCCGGGTATGTAGTCCAAAACATAAGGTTTGTATCATAGGTATGAGTACATTGTGATGTTTGAAGAATGTATTGTAGCAGTATGGAATTATTGATTTGCTAAATTGTAATGTAGCTTTGTTGCGTGTACTGTTGCAAGTTATAAAGGTTGTATCATAGCTATGTGCAATACAGGATTTGTTAAAATTGTAATGTAGCTATGTGGAATGTACTGTTGCAGGGTATAAAGGTTGTATCATTGCTATGTGCAACATAGGATTTGTTAAAATTGTATTGTAGCTATGTGAAATGAATGTACTGTAGCTGCTTATGAAGTCTGTTATATAAAGGATTTACCATACCTGCGTATAATGTTTGATTTATTAAGCTTGTATTGTAGTTATGTGAAATGTCCTAGAGCTTTTATAAAATATTTTGGAAAAGATAGTACTCTAGCCGTGTATTATATTTGTTGAGATTGTATTAGAACTATTTGAAATATACTGTAGCTGGGTATAAAGTCTGAAGTACAAACGTTGTATTGCAGCTGTGTGAAATGTACTGTAGTCTCATATGAAATCTGCTGTATAAAGGTTGTACTATAGTTGTGTATGTTTAATCTGTTAAACGTGCATTATTAGCTATACAGAATGTACTGTAGCTGGGTATGAAGTCTAACATATAATGTTGGCTTATACCTGTGTATAATGTTTGACTTGTTAAGTATGTGTTTTAGCTATGTGGAATGTGAATAGCTGGCTATTAAATCTGACATATAAAAGTTGTATCACAACTGTGTGAAATGTAGGATTTCTTAAGATTGTATTTCAATTATATGCCATGTTCTTCAACTGGGCATAAAATCTGATGTATAAAGGTTCTATCACAGCGAGTTGTAATGTTTGATTTGTTAATATTGTAATAAAGCTATGTGGAACATACAGTAGTTAGGTATGAAGTCTGATATATAAGGTTTGTATCATAGCTGTATTCACATTGTGATTTTTGAAGATTATTTTGAAGTGATGTGGAATGATTTATTTGATAAATTGTAATGTAGAATTATGGAATATACTATAGCTGAGTATGAAGACAGACATATAAAGTTTTCTCATACCTGTATATACTGTGCAATTTATTAAGATTGTATTCACTGTATGTGGAATATACTATAGCTGAGTATGAAGACAGACATATAAAGTTTTGTCATACCTGTATATACTGTGTAATTTATTAAGATCATATTCATGGTATGTGGAACATACTATAGCTGAGTATGAAGACAGACACATAAAGTTTTGTCATACCTGTATGTACTGTGGAATTTATTAAGATTGTATTCATGATACATGGAATATACTATAGCTGAGTATCAAGACAGATATATAAAGTTTTCTCATACCTGTACCACGTATCATGAATACAATCTTAATAAATTACACAGTATAAATATACTATAGCTGAGTATGAAGACAGACATATAAAGTTTTGTCATACCTGTATATACTGTGTAATTTATTAAGATTGTATTCATGTTACGTGGAATATACTATAGCTGAGTATGAAGACAGACATATAAAGTTTTGTCATACCTGTATATACTGTGTAATTTATTAAGATTGTATTCATGGTACGTGGAATGTACTATAGCTGAGTATGAAGACAGACATAAAGTTTTCTCATACCTGTATATACTGTAGAATTTATTAAGATCATATTCATGATACGTGGAATGTACTATAACTGAGTATCAAGACAGACATATAAAGTTTTGTCATACCTGTATATACTGTGGAATTTATTAAGATCATATTCATGGTATGTGGAATGTACTATAACTGAGTATCAAGACAGACATATTAAGTTTTCTCATACCTGTATATACTGTGTAATTTATTAAGATTGTATTCATGGTACGTGGAATGAAAACTTTATATGTCTGTCTTGATACTCAGCTATAGTACTCATACCTGTATATACTGTGTAATTTATTAAGATCATATTCATGGTATGTGGAATGTACTATAGCTGAGTATGAAGACAGACATATAAAGTTTTCTCATACCTGTATATACTGTAGAATTTATTAAGATCGTATTCATGGTACGTGGAATGTACTAAAGCCGAGTATGAAGTATAATAATAAAAATAGTTCCATATGCAGGTATAAAGTTTGATTTGTTACAGTCATATTCTAGCTGTGTGTAATGTACTAGAGTTAAGTATGAAGCCTGATATATTAAACTTGTATAAGATCTGTGTGTATTTGTTAATATTGCATTGTCGATATAGGAAATGTTCTGTATCTGGGTATGAAGTCTAACATGTTGTAACAGAATTGAATAAGTAGAGTTGTTGCTTGGAATGGTCTATTCTTTCATTGGGGTGTGTGTGTCTATGAGCCAGACTAGTTTCGAAGAATTCCACTCCTCATCAGTGACCCTAGACACTACCACCAATGAAATATCAGACCAAACCAAGTCTTCATACTAGTGAGGTATCGAAAATCAAACTGGTGTATTTACGTGTTTTATACTCACCAAAAAGAAACCTATGGAATGACAGGTTTCTTTTGGTGAGTGTAAAACACATAAATACACTAGTTTGATGTTGTAACAGGTTGTATCATAGCTGTGGGCAATGTTTTATTCATTAAAACTGTATTGTAGTTATGTGGAATGTACTATATTTGACAAATAAGTCTAAAATATAAAGGCAGTATCACAGCTGATTATAATCTTTAACTTGTTAAGCTTGTAATGTAGCTGGGTGGAATGTACATCAGCTGGGTATGAAGTTGAATCTGGCATAAAGTTGTCATACCTGTATACAATACTTGATTTGATAAGATTGTATCATATTTGTATATAATGTCTGATTTGTTATGCTTGTATTGTAACAACATGAAATGTATTATAGCTGAGTATGAAAGTTTGAGATATAAAGTTTGTAATGGAGTTGTTTACAATGTTTATTTGTAAAGAATATATAGCTACATAGTGTTAGATTTGTTTTCTGAGAGTGGCAAAAATAATGTTTTGTTTTATCACTTTTGCTGATGCCATTAGTTTAACAAATGTACTGAACAAAGTAGCTATAATTGAAATCTATCTGCAGTTTGTTTTTACTACTACTGTCAAACAGTATTGGATTTAAAAATGTTTAACAATATGGATTGCAATTAACAATTTATCTGTATACATTGTTGTGTTTTTAACAAAGAGCTAAACAAAAGTAACAGTTTATGAGTGTACTGTGTTTACTTTTTTAATACTGTAGTTGAACAATATGAAACTTATGTACAAGAATGGAATATGATTAATCCAAAACACAAATTGATGTAATAACTGACAGAATAAAACTATTTAGGAGGTAACAAGAGTTAATTCATTAAAAACAAATTAGTTTTTTATGCTACTGTAAGAAATGTAATCCAGCTTGTAGAATGGACATGGTTCTATACCTAAGAAAGTTCCATCCACAATTTCACCAAAATATATTGATATTTGTGTACACTGTAGTTATATTGGAGTAACACCACATATTTACAGAATACATAACAATACATAGTCACTATTTGTGAAACATACTAGTGACAAATTCCAAAAAAAATGCCATGAAAATTCTATGAGCTAATAAACATGGATTCCTCCTACAAATACACATTTAGTTTTGTTTTTTGCAAGAAAACAAAGTTACACAGTTAAATCTTTGTGTGCTATTTCTACCTTTAGTGTCAAAAATGTTAAAATAAACATCATGCTTAATTAACGCAATAAAGTATTACAACCTCTCAATATTTTCAAATATTAAAGCATATCTACAATATTAAGAAGTTACAACTTGACAATATTATCTGGTGATATAACATGTTAACACTGTTAAAATGTCACATCTTGCTAATGTTATCAAATGACACATTAAAAAAGTTAACATTTTCCTTACCTAAAAATGTATTTCACATAGATACCTACCTCTCTGCACCAGTAAGAGCTATTACCATGCATAAAACTGCCATGAAATTCCCTGCGCATGGCACAAGCCTTGAACCAACTCCCATCCCTACACATCTACCTGTACTGTACCAGCTTACAATGTAATCATTATAATCCTGTAGCCCTCTACCAATAGAAGGTGACACGAACTCCATGCGAGGTAATCCCGTGAGCACTGGCACATGATCATAGGCTCATTCTTGAGCCAAAGAAAATCACCAGAAGTGGGGAGAAAGAGTGGGAAGGTGGTGCAGAGAGGTGAATATCTATCTGAAATAAAATTTCAGGTAAAGAAAATGTTAACTTCAGAAAAACTACTTACCTCTCTGCATTACCAAGAGCTAGAATCCCACTCTGACAAATAGTGGAGGAGTCAGAGCTAATCAATTACAAAGATGAAACAGCAAAAGAATGAGAAAGCCAATGTGATGTGAATTCCTTGAAACCAGGATATGGTTAGTGGAGCAGCACCTGGTGGGAGACCACATCCTCTTTGCCCAACTTGTTGTTATTTGTTCATTTATATGTTACACTTACATCACATATGGATTTACAGTAAAATACTTTAGATAAACTTAGTGCTAGTGATAACATGTTGCAAAGGTGAGCAGAATGTGAGAATATCTAGTGTGGCTAAGGTGTTAGGCTGTTCCATCTTGGTAAAATACTGATATGAGATGTTGACTATAGCAATGGGTGGAGGAGCCCTCATCTGCTTCCTGAAGCCAATCCAAGTTCTGTCTAGCTGGACATATACACCAGAAACTGCTTGAGATTGTAATGGGATATCCTATACTACACTTCCAGGCAACACCCTAGCTCTACATCTCAAAAGAGGGGTGGGCCCAATCAGTCTCTTACCAGGGAGGAAGGCACCATTTGCAGAGGAAACTCTCCATACCGACATCCCCAACAGCTTGGGACTGAGGAAGTAAGGGTTCTCTTGTGCTCCACTAGAAGAATGGAAGAGAATACATGTTGGGGAGAACATCATGGGATTAACACTTTCCATTTGTCCCCATTCAATGTAGGTTTTGAAATAAGTATTCCCCATGAGACAACATCAAGCACTCAGTGGGTTCCGATGTTACCAGTCATAAAGATCATAAGGTGTAATTCTGCATGTAACATTTGACTTGGTCAGTCTTGCCTCCTCCATACCAGATCCCCTGGGAAGACTAGGGAATGGTTACTACAAGGAGAGAAATACCAGACACAGAAAACTGCCCAAGGATTTAAGCAATGGAAGACAAATGTCTTAAGTGTAGTCCACATGTTAGCCTGCAAGATCTCCTCCAAGTACCGGCAATTAAAAGAGGGATGAGTGGCTGTGACATGCTGAACTGGAGGGAGAAGATGCAAAAATGTGTGTCAGGTTCACCCTAAAAATATGCGAGATGGGTGAGTTGACAAACCTAACCTGTTAAAGTTTAAAGGGACAAGTTCTGAGAGAAAAAGGTCTGCTTCAGTAAAAATAGGTGACAGCAGTTCCCAAGAAAAGGGACAATCTTAGCAAGACTGCCTACACAGGACACAAAAGACAACTGAGATCAAAACAATTGTACAGTGATGAAACCTAGAGATGAGAGAAGACCTCCAATGGCCTTTCCAGGCAGTCCAAGTCTTTGGAAGAAAGGAGTGGACTGGAAACAAAATCAACTGGTCCCTATGATACAGTATGAGAGGCATCTAAAATCTAAATGTTTAAACAATAATGACCACAAGCAAAAGAAGGTAAACATATGTCTTGAGAAAAAACTTATATCAGGAAAAGGAGACCAATGGCTCAAAGGGGGCAAGAAAGAGCCTGAAGAACCACACAAAAGTCACAATAGGGGAGAAGGACCAGACGAGGTGGGGTGAAAGGAAGGGATTATTGCCTGGCAAGAGACAAAAGGTTGTAGACAATGCCTTACAATAACCTGCATTGTATGAAACAGACAGGCTCTAGATGAAAAGCCAGATACAGAAGGAAGTAAGATGTGATGTAGTAGGATGACATGGCTGAAAAGTGGCAGTGACAACCCACATGCAATTGATAGACGATGAGAGCAGAAAGCTGACAAGAGTGATAGAGAAAACAGACTATGCAAGAGAATCCTGTATGTCTCACAAGGGACCACAAAAATTAGTTGTAAACATAATTTTTAGATAATAAAATAATCAACCTATTTTAAAATATTTCAATAATTGTGGACATGTTAAAACACTTGAAATAATTAATAGAACAGTATTGCAAGACTTTTGTATTACATGAAAAATTCTTTACTACTAGTCAAAATATTGATACAAAAATTAATATTTAAAGAATTTTATAAACAAATATTAAACAATTTGTTTTTAATTATTTTGTAACAGATCAAAATACATAAATATCAAGAAGTAAGAGTTAAATATATGCTTAAAATTTGTGATAAAGGTTTAGATTTGAATCATATTTTTTATAAAGTCATTTAAATGAGAAACATCTTAACACTATTTTCATATGTGTATTAACTCTTTTTTTACATGGGCTCAGTTGAATTGACTGACCACTTTAAGGTTTTGATACTACTAACTTTTAATATAGTACATATATCTTCACAAAATTTGGCAGACTTTCAGTAAATATTACAATTCTTTTACTTACAAAAAATCTGATTTTTTAATGAAGTATTTTTAATAAGTTAATAAAAGATATGTCCGTGAATATAATGAGTTCTTTTTACTAGTCAAAGTGCAAAGTGATTTTCATGTTCAGATTAAAAAATACTCTTTTTCATCTCAAAAATTTCAGATTTGATTTGCATAATCTCTAAGACCTCCTAAATACATTTCAGTAAAACTTTATATTTTATCTGTTATTTTCTCAACCCTAACTCTAAACAAGGTTGGTTAATTTGACTGACCTCATAACCATCAAAATATTTTTTTTACTTTCTAGAGTGCCTTCAAATTGTAACAGTATACATATATTTATACTTAAATTTCATTGTTTTATTGCCCTTTGAACCGTCTAACTACTATTTGCGTCATTATAAGTTGTAAGTCACTTAGGGAACGTAGGCTCACGTTATGCTATTCAATTACATTACCCACGAGCAGGGACGGACTGGACTCTAAAATTTTACTGGTAAAAAAGCTAGAAGGGGGCCCACAAATTTGTTTTTCTCTATTATGCTGACAGAGCATTAATCTATTTTTTTACATACTTTTCCAAGGGGGCCCACCAGGATTTTTCTCAGTATCTCGTTAAGCCAGTCTGTGCCTGCCCACAAGCTACCCTGAGCTGCTGATGTGTGCCTTATGAACAAATTTTATTATATTATTATTTATTTTAGCTAATCTTAACCTAAAGAGATTCCTATATTTACATTTTAATTAATTTTATAATAAAAATAAAGAATACACATTTAAAACAAGAAATAAAATACCTAGACCTTTTATTTTTCTTTCGACTGTCAATGACACTTAACCCTACTTTTTTATATTAATGGTAGTAGTACACTAAATAATTTTTATTTAATTAAATAGTGCACCAAAGAACATAAAAAAATAACATGCAAAAAGCAGACAATGTTCCATAACTATTACAATTAAACATAAAAGAGAACTATTAACAAATCCTGAAAGAGATGATGTGATAGGTGGGTGTGGCAAAAGGGGTCTGATTTTTTTTATTTGAAGGCATTGTAACCAAACAAGATTGAAGGCTAGGAAAATTATTCTTTGTCTAGGCAATGACAATATTATAGTGAGTAATTTACATTAAATTTCAGACTTATTGGAGAGGTGATGAATAAATTAGAGAAGTGAGGAAGCCTGGAGAAAAAAATGTCACATTTCTTACACTAAGAGAAATTTAGGATTTTTTAAATATTGCATTATAAAATTAAGAACTTAAAACTTGCATGATATTAAAATATGAGTTATTAGTTATGAATTTATGCTATACTAATTTGTATAACAAAAAAAGAAAGTACTTTAATTAAATTCTGAGTGTAACTTACTAAAAACCTCGTGATGTGAATAGTAAAGAATGGCGAGAGGATTAACCTATGTAAACACACAAAACTGCCCAAGGACATAAGCAATATAAGATGAATGTCTTAAGTGCAGTCCACATGCTAACCTGTGAGACCTCTTCCATATAACTCTCTCTGGCAGGTAGAAAACAGTATGAAAGTTAGTAGTTAAACTGAGAGTACAGATTTTATTCTAGTATAATTTATCTGCTGTGCTACTATTAATTACCCTATTCATTTGAGCTTTTACTAACATACTGGAGACTGGAATTCCACCTTCACAAGGTAAGGTTTTCTTACTTGCCACCCCTAATGGTAGGGCCTTTTCTTTCTTTTTTATTTATTTTCTGAGAGCAGTCACCTTCCCACAACTGTCTGCAGTCAGAAATATGTGATATAGATGTGGGACCTTGTGGGCTTGAATACCCATTTTTGCTCTCTTATCTTAATTTACTCTTTTATTATTCTTTTCCTTATGTGTGAGGCTTTACAAACAGAGAGGAAGACTGACAGATGGTTTACTCCCACTGCTATGTGGGACCTACTTCTGCAGTCACTTCCAAAAACCAGGACACATCTGATATCCCATTTTGATTAAGGATTTGTATTATAAATATGATATATATATACATACACACACACACACACACACACATATATATAATATGTACATATTTTACTTGGCATACCTTGGTGAATGTAGTCTAAAGTATAAATGTGATGGCTAAAGAAAATGAAGTTGTAATCTAGTGGATGGAGCTAAAGTGCAACAGAGATAAAAGCTATGTAACACTAATTAAAGAAATGCATTTGATTAAGGTGAATAGAAAGTCTGAACATAGGCAGTGCTGAGGAAAGAATGAGCCCATGATTATGTGCTAGCACACATTTGGATTACTGCATATGAAAGTTGTGTCACACTCCTACTGGTAAAGGGCTAAAGCATTATAACAATTATATCATAGGCTGAAGCAACACGTGTACATATTTAAGGGTGGGAATTTATTCAAGGCTTTTGGTATGCACAGGAAATTCTGCAGCAGTTGCACATGAGGTAACAGCTCTTAATGGTGCAGAGAAGTTAGTAGTGTTTCTGAAGTACCAATTTTATTGAGTACCACATGTTAACAATACAATTAAGATATAGATGTGTTAATACTATTAAGGTTATAGCTGATTACAGTTTTACATATTAATGTTGTACTGCAGCTCAGACCAATGGCTTATTTATGTTGTATTGTGTTTGAGTACAATGTTTATTTGTGAACACTTACATATAACATATCTTGATATTTTGGAGGTGTTTACTCACTAAGGTCATTATGATTCAGTATATATATCAGATAATTTTTCATAAGCTGTCAAAATCATTAATTTCATGTTCTATAACATACCAATATATGTTTCAGATCTTCCACAGTGTAAGTTTTTACAAGCTATAAACTTTGTTAAGGTGTCACAACTTGCCAACATTTTTGCTTACAATACTGATAAGTACATTAAAAGTCATCCACATCAGGACCAGTAAACAGAAATACAGTAAAAGTTCTGCAAAAAAGTGACAAAATCAAATAATGATTCTGGCTTAACCACTTTTAAGTTCTACAAAAAGTTTCACAAGCAACAAAAAAAAAATTATTTTAACAATAAATAGAATAATATATCACAAGAAAACTATAAACAAAAATGTTCTTGAGAAAGACCTTTTAAACACCAATTTTTAACATTACACCTTTTAAGTAAGAGCACCATGGAGGGAAGGAAATATTGTTTTCCTCTACATTTTCTGGCAGTATAAAGCACTTGTATTTGTGTCCATATTTAAGTAAACATCAAGTTTTCATTGGAAGGGTAAAAATTTCTATCACTTTAACAACAAGCCCAACTTTACATATACTCCTTAGCCTACACCTGAGTTAAGATATTTAAAAGGGATCGAGATTCAATAACTGATAATGTTCATTATTTTGTGATTCTGGAAAGAGATTGGTTCCACAAGTTGTCCAAAACTATTTATAGATCAACCTTTGTAATAACATGAAATAATCTTAATTTGCTACCATCATGTTGGAAATTTACCTTACAGAAATCTTGTCTAACTACTGTATATACTTGTACAGTATTTACACACATCCATTGTGTATTTTTTCTATTCAGAGTAAAGATTTTTATAAATGAGATTCATGCATGTAAATAATATTAACAAATTGGTCAAATGAAGATCCATTAAAGTTAAAAAAAAAAGTTTGTTAACAGTGAATGTAAATGCATATAAAAAATCCACTTAAGGTCCAATTAATTACAGGTCTCACAAACATAAAAGCATCACAAGTTGACAGGTTGCAACATCTTAACAGAAAACACTGTATATTCTGCAGATTATAATTACTCCATATTTGATTTATGTATAGTTTATTCAATAAAAACTTGTATTAGCAAATAGTGCAACATTTGGAAGCCATTTTCATGTCTGTTATGCTCTGCTTGTTTCTGTTTCGATGTCTAGACCTGTCCATTTTTCTCCAACCATTCTGGTTAATATCCAGTGTGGACACTTGCTTACTAGCTGAGTGGACAAGCCTTGTCAGATTTAATCCTTTAGACTTTGGACTCCATTCATTGCTGACTTTTTTGTCCACCTGATGATGGTCAGTTGTGTCCATTTGCTGGTGCTGGGTCAATCTACCAACATATAAACTGCTACCATCTACATGCTGAAGTTGTGCTGGTGTCCTGATGTCGGTTTTGGTGCTACACACCCCCACCCCTTGCAGCTTAGTTGGCTCACTGATGTTAGAATTGCTACCACCCCTTTCTTCCACCTGAAGCTGTGAGAGTTTGCTAATCTCACTCCAACTTGTAGGAAAAGAATTATGGTCATTAATTAGATCATTGTTAATTTCACTGCCTTCTTCTTGGCCAAGACTACTGTGTCCATTTGAATTTGTGTGTGCTGACACCTCTGTTAAAGTTATGTTATCAGAGTTTACTAACTCCTGATTGCAAGAATAGTCTATGTACAGATCCCCACAGGAAACAGACTCCATCAGACGAGGCTGAGAATCTGATAGGAAGTCCAGACTGTCATTACTGTCAACAGAGAAAACTGTTTTATCTAAAGAATGAGGCCTAAAGACCATTCTTTCATCTTCAGGTGTGTATGTATAGTTGTGATGATCATCTTCTACTACATTAGTGTTTTCTAGTGTATCAAGCTTGGAAATTAGACCAGCTGAAGGAACTTGGTAATTTCTAACTTGGTATTTGTCATTTATTACATCATTTTCAAAAGTTTTTTTGTCACTTAATCTGGTGTTTTCTTTGTCAGTTATGTATATTTTTTCCTGATAATCTTGCTTCTGATTAGTCTGCTCACTGAAGCAGGAAGTTTTATTAGAATTTCCAAAGTGCTGTCTGTGATATTGTCCCATTAAATGTAACATGGCATGGGGCAAAAGAGACCGTGAAGTTTGTTTTACACAGTATAGCTGCTTCCTAGTTTGTCTTGACTTACAAGATTTGGAAACTGGCTTGGCACCCACTAAAACTTCCTCATTTTGGTTCTTCAGTAGAAGTTGTGGTGAGCTTTTAACAGCATGAAGTCGATGACCACCAGAGGGTAATATTTTGAGTTTTTTGGTAGAGTAATATATAGGGTACTCCTCTTTCCTGGTGGAAGAACAAGAATTTCCTATTTCTTTTTCTAGAGATAAAGGTAACTCTGGTCTTTTCACAGGAAACATTTGAAGGGTTTCTTGTTCTGGAACTGCTAAAGATAGGCAAGTTTCTTCCTCTTCAATATTCTCATTGTGGAAATTGTTCTGTAGCGCAGGTGATTTCACTGGAGAACTACTTCCACCACTAGTCATGCTCACATTGTCCTCTTCTTCCCGTACTATACTACACTTCCTGGCCAAAGGCAGTTGAGACACAGAACTCAAGCTAACACCTAAGTGTGAGGGAGTCAGATATAGACCATAACTATGAGTATTCAGGGGTTTCAAGGGAGAAAGGGGAGACACTAAATTATCATGTGGAATATCAAGTTTTTCTTGAGTAGGTGATGGATTTGATGTTGCCACCCTAATGAAATGAAGAAAACCAAAATTTCCTTTAGAAGAATGGAGAGTTGCACAAATTGTCTAAATCTGAAATTACTGGTGACTAATGGGTTAAATAATGGTAAACTTAGAAAAACAAGAACATATATCACAGGTCAGTAGTACAATACTAATTTATATAAAATATAATATGTTATTATTAAACAAATACTTAAGATATAATTTAGCTTATAGGCTGTAACTTGTAGTTAAAGTTTAAGGTGCAAAGTCTTCTCTAGACAGTCAAAAAGTGCACGCAAGTAACCTATAGATTTCTAATAATTCCTATACACTTATCTTGAAATTACTGGTCTATATTCACAGTAGTGGAAATAATCATAGAAACACACAAGTGATACACATAAAGGAGTAGCAAACAAGTTCTAGTAACTAGATGGAGAATTTATTAATTGTAAACTTTTATCACAGAAAATACAAAAATAAAAGTGAATAAGCTGTACAATGCACCAGTACATTTTTTTATGTGAGTCCTATACTTTATACAAAACATTACAACTTTTTTCCATGCTGCCATTCAGTCATGAGTTACTCCTTACAATTTAGCCAAACTGTTTGGTCACCTTTTGGCCTAATCAGTTTTTACACAAGTCCATATAGCTTCAAGAAAGTTCATATAAAGACTTTGTGCAGGACAATTCATAGCTGGGAGTATTCTATCAGCCTCTCTGTTATCAAGACGTTAAATTACCACATTTGCTGTATGTTTAGGATAACTGTCTTGCTGGAAGATGAGTTCCTGCCTGATGCATCATTTTCCTGAGGGAACAGCATAGTGGATCACATCTCTCTGTACTTGTCAGCAGGCAGAGTGCCTTCAATTCCTAATAGGTCACTTACACCAATTATTGAGAAGCAGCCCTAAACTTTTACTGATCTATAAAATGCTTCACTGTAGATGTAATTGATTATGATACTATACTCCTTTCAGTCATTATACAAACTGTCGTTGACTGTTGCTAAATAATTTGAACTTGGACTGATCTGAAAATATGGAATGGCACTTTCTGATTTGTTGGATGACAACCAATTACAGTCTATAAACTATCAGCACAACTGTTCACTTTCACACACTATTTACCTTTTATACCCCTTTTTGTCACATTTCTCATAATTATTTCCAATACTGTATGCTTACGTAGAACTTAAATTGCTTGCAGTTCACATATACTTACCTTGAAGACTGCAGATACTTCTAGGGAAACAAGTTGCTTCTAGTAATTCTCTAATCCATATATATTTATTCAGAAATTATTAAGTTATGTGTGATTACCATACACTTACTCTGGTGTTATCGCTAATGGAGAAAAGTCACCTCTACAATTTCTGATGTTTAACTGATGAGCTTTCTCTTGTCGCTGAGCTCGCAGTTTTCTCTCAGCAAGAAGAAAGTAGGTGGCAGTAATGTGGTTGTACTCATTCTTGTCCAATGCTCTATTACAGTTAAAAGTAACAATGCCAAAATTACTACATAATGGCCTAAGTTTCCCTAACTCTAGAATGGAATGAATAATGAAAATAAAAAAAGAAATCAACAGTTCTAATAAATGAAACTAAAATGATGATTTTTAGCACTCTATGAATTGTGAGTTTTATCTGAAATCAAATTTGGACTAACTCTATCCCACCATTGGTGATAAAAACCATCTCTTGACTAGCAAATAAAACTTGCTAAAATTAACACTTTCCTACACTAAAAATGTATTTCTGATAGATAATTACCACCAATCATATAATAGCTTTCCTCAATTGTGCTGCCTTTTATATGCCCAATTTATTCTCCCTGCTAACCTTGAGGCTCGCACCCAGCATCACATGTTTACACGTGGTATAGCTGTGCTGTAGCATGCAAATGATCATGCAACAAACTTCAACCAATTGGAGTGTGACACACCCTTCCTAGTGCAGCTGACTCCCTCTATGCTGTAGAGCTCAATCCTCACTTCAAGATTAGGCAGAAAAATATGTACCACAAGTAGGGAGGATGGGTGTGAAGTGTGAGTAGAGGTACATATCTTCAGGAAATACATTTTCAGGGTAGGAAAATGTTAACTTCTAATATCTGCAGATATCTGATGGATATAATACGATTCGAGAGTATAGTAAAAGAATTAATGATGTCTGACTGATGAATATCATAAGATTCTATAGTACAGTAAAAGCACTACAGATATCTGGCAGATATCATATGATTCGATAGTAATAGTAACAGCACTACAGATGTGTGATGAATATCATAGGAAATGATGCAATAGAGGAAACCATGACTGAACCAGCCAGTAAGGAGTTATCAGTAGGATTCAACATGTAGTGTCCAGAATGATGGAAAAAATTAGGGAGAAAATAAGTAGGAGGGTAGGCATGGAGACAAAATTGGACCAGCCCTGATGGAGTGCATCCCCAGCTAAAGCTGAGAAAAGAGGAATAGGGAATCAAAAAAGGGAAATTAGAGTGCTGAGAAAAGTGGGAAAAACAGTAAGAAGAGCATCCAGATGATAGCACATCAACTTCAACACCAGAGGAATATAGGTAGTATCTGGCCTTAGCAGGCCTCGAGAGGCAATCCATGACTCAGGACAGTCCAAACAGAACAAGGTATTAAATGTACTAGTATAGAAAGGGCCCAGAAAAGGAAGGCAATAGTGTGGAAACAGGGAGAGGAAAACCAAGTGTTCTCCTGGTAATTGATAAAGGAGACAACTGCAACCCTGACCTGATGTGTCATCTGAAGAAGGCTACAAACCATCCTAAAAAAATCCAAAATTCAATGTACCACCAAAAGTTCTAAGAGGGATTTAAAGGGATGATATGTCATGGTACCAATGACCCAAATTCATGTGAGAGTCAAGACATGCCCCCTCCCCATTTCGTCAAGGCAGTGTCTGGAAAAGGAAAAAGACCCAAGGAAGAAGAATATCACTATAGAAGTAGTTTTATCCAGCCACCAGATGAAGTAGTTGAAGGAAGAAGGAGAATGGTTAAGGACAAAGGATCCCAAGGAAGGATCCAGAGAACGTGCAGTCCATTGTAGATGTTGCAAATGAGCACAACCCAAGGGTATACATGATTCCATAGAAGCCCAAGTCTCCAAAAGAGAGAGAGAGAGAACCTCCCACAAAGTGAGGAAAGGAGAAGATATGACATGGGAAACTATTAGATCCATGTCCCTCAAAAGAAGAGAAGAAGGCTAGGCTCTGCAAACATATGAAATTAAAAAAACAACCAAGAAACTCCCCAAGAGAAAGCAAGAAACTGACTGAGACATGAAAAATGTAAAACTCAACACCTATCTATAGATTCCCTGGGAACCAAGAAAGATAAAAAAAGAATGAAAAACCCATCCAATAGAGATTGGGGCCATTAGGGACCAATGTTGGCAAGAAATAAGATCCCTTGGAGGATGTAAAATAATGGGAACAGGAGACATTAGAGGATGAGGAGAAGAAAACCAATAGTTAAGGCTCTCTGATAGAAATCCCAGTGCTCAACAACTGGCTGTAAACAGAGGGCAAAGGTCCATAAGCCAAATGAAACAGGCCTTACTGACCCTAAGCCTATAGAACAGTTACTGCCAAGACTAAAAGTGCCAAAATCTACAAGCAGTAGAAGAACAGATAGGAAGAGGAATGGGAAAGTGGTGATAGAGAGAGAAAGAAGAGGAAGCAGGAGGAGAAGAGACAGAGAGAAGCAAAAAAAAGGAGCACAGGAGAGATGATACACCACTTAGGATAAGGCATAGCACTGACATGCAGCTCCAACATATGACAGAGATACAATCGTACCAATAAAATCATACAGGCAGATGAAAGGAGCCAGAAGGAGGCAAAAGCAAAAGAGTAACAAGGGAATCATACCCCAACCAACTCTAGCAAAAGATCAACCAAATAAGAAGTGAAATTGCCAAGCAAGATAAACACACCATTGTAGGAAAGGCAAGTTAATGAGTATCCACTGAAAACCCAACAGGAGAATGGTGGATTATCATAAAAAGAAGGTTAAAGAAGGAAAAATATCATAAAAGGGTAGCTTGTATAAGACAAAGGTAGGAAAACCTAATCCTAAAAAAAAGACAAACAAAAGATAGAGGATCTGACATCCAAATTTGAAGAAAAAACTTCAGAGTTTAGAAGTCAACAAAAAGCAATAGAGCACGTGGTCATGCCTAGTTATATGAGGTAACAAAGGAAAGAGGTATGTATGCTTCAAAGTAGTGGTAAAAATAACTGAACATGTAAACAACATACCTGAGAAACCTAGTCATGAAAAAGTCTGAGGTAAAATCAAGACAATAAGGGTATAAGATGAGGAAAAGGTAAGTGGGAAAAAACCTGCAAAATCTCTTCTGTCACAGACAAGAAACATAGGCAGAGATATGTCAGGGACAAAAGAAGCCTCAGGCTGCATTAAAGCCTCCACCACCTGCCACACAAAAGACCTAACCTCTCCCAACAGACAAACTCAATATCAATATAGTTGGTAGGCTAGCATGAACAGTCGTGTTGTTTCACACCAGAAAAAGTGGAAGTTTCCGACACTTCTGAAACAATGTAGATACTTCCACTGAAAAACACCAATAACTGAAACGTTCCCATGTGAAAAAATACATGTCATTACACATGAGTGATGATTGTGCTCTACGGTATAGAGTTGGTCTGCTGCACTATAAGAAGGTGTTGCACTCCTTTTGGTGATGGGTTGTCGCACAATAATTTGCATGCTACAATGCAGCTATACCACATGTAAACACATGATGTTGGGTGGGAGCTCAAGGCCAGTGGCAAGCAAATATTATGCATATAGAGGTGTGATGGATTTATTATTATATATTTATTTTAATATTGACGTTTCTTTAGCTTAAACTTATATTTAGAAATATGCACAATGTATACTGTTAAATATGTATTGCAAAACTCTCAACTATTCTCCAAAGTTGTAGAAGATTCTCAAGAGTAAGAATCAACAATATGTGTGTGTACGTAAACGCTTGTATTAGCGCCAGTATTGTTACATAAAATTGAAATTTCTAGAAAACCCCCACACGCCTATAAATATAACCAACGCAACACGCCAAAAAAGAGTATCTATTATTAGTTCACTACAGACAGTGTGCTAATAAACTTCAGAAGCTATAACTGTGGTTGTTATAATGCTTACCAATCGGAAAACTTCATATATTTGACCAGGAACCTTTACAAAGTTCAAACATTACAAATCATTTAACTTCAGTGGATTCTCATTTTTATGAAAACATTACCTAATGTCACCGGTAGGAAAATATTGGTGTGTGTGGCTGGTAAATAATGAAGGACAAAGCTAGCTAGCTTCCCATTAACTACTAAATTTAAATTATCAGTTAACTCAGTTTCAGACCGTTCGAAATTCTAATACATAACATAATAAAGTGGGGGCTCATATCCGAGATCTGAATCACAGAAAAAATTCAATCTAAATCAAAATTTAAATCACAATTGAATTTATGTTTATCAGTGCCAACAAGATTTGACCATGTCTGATAATCAAGATTTTCTTGAATCGCCCTCCCTCGAGAAATTAGAAAAATATAACAAAAATTAATTACTCGAAATTGCCAAAGTTATAGTACTAGAAGTTAAAAGATCAATGAGAAAAAATGAACTAAAAAAGCGTATTATTGAAATACTAGTCGATGATGATTTGTTGCCTGAGGAAGCATTAGAGGAATACTCTAGTGTCCCTACTAGCCACTCGGGGTTGAGTGATAAAGATAAATTAGAGATCCAGCCAAAACTCAAACAAGCTCGCATTGAAGCCAAAAAGGAGAAAGAGCAAGCTTGTATTGAAGCCGAGAAAGAACAGGCTCGTATTGAAGCCGAAAAATAAATTAGACTGAAAGAAATGGAAATTAGACTCAACACCAATCATCCAAGGCAAAATGACAACTTTGAACTTACTCGATATGTTAAAGTACCACCATTCAATGAAAATGAAGTTGATAAATATTTCCAGCATTTTGAGAAGGTTGCCTAAACAATGGAATGGCCCACTGAAAAATGGTCATTACTATCACAAGGTGTTTTAACTGGTAAAGCACAAGAAGCTTATGCTGCTACACCCTCTAGAAGATTGTACAAATTATGATAAGGTTAAAGCAGTTATTCTCAAAGCATTTGAGTTAGTACAGAGGTTATCGCAAACAAGATACAAAGCTATACTGAATTTGCCCATGAAAAAGAGGTTTATTTTGATTGATGGTGTAGATTTCTGCATATTGGCAATAGCTTTGACAAACTAAGACAATTATTTCTAATTGAAAAATTTAAACATTGTGCACATGATGATCTCAAAACTTACTTAGATGAAAAGAAAGTTGAAACACTACAGGAAGCAGCCACTCTTTCCGATGATTACACTTTAACACATAAAACCACTTTTCATAAAAAGAAATTCCTACCATCTCAACAAAAACCTGTATCTGTTCAATCCACTAAAGTTGAGGATTCTTCTAAAAAATCCAGCTCCACTAGTTCAAAATCTTCTGACAGTCAGGATAGAACTTCTTTAAAACAATCAAGGCCTGTCTGCCATTTTTGTAAAAAACCTGGTCATGTTATGTCCAATTGTTGGTGTTTGAAAAAGAAATAGAGGTAACACTCAGTGCATTTGTGTCCACATATGGATGTAGTTTCACCAGATCACCTGATGTTGATTTGTCCACTGATATGAAGGCTTATGTAGTCAGAGAGGAATTTAGACTCTTTGTGTCTGTTGGTTCTGTGTCTTTGACAAATGACTCTGGCAATCCCATACCCATACATATTCTACATGATACTGGGGCGACTTAATCATTGTTGTTAGAAGGTATATTGCCTTATGATTCGAATTCTACTACTGGTGAGTCTGTTATTGCTCAGGGTATTGAGGGTGGCTTTGTT